CAGAACGAATTTACGGAAAATCAATTAGCGAACGGTGACGTAACATATATTTATTTAATTGAGTCCCAAGGCCGTTTACGACACACATTTCATTGGGGCACAGTAGATGCTAATGCATCATCGGTGATTTTCGGTCAAAGTTACCTGGTGGCGCTTATCTCCTCTATAGGTAGCCGTCCCTAATTTAACATTGAAAATTAAAGGAAGGCAGTTGGTAAACAACAATCACCTCATACTCCTTAGCTACTCTTTTACTAACGAATAATAGGATATAACACCCTCCCTTGTATAAAAAACAGAACACGTTTATTTTATTGCAAGGGGAAAATTAATAAACCAAAGATACTTATATGAATCCTGTATAAGAAATGAAATAGATTGCCTGATAAATACACTATTAGAAAGTTAAATACACGAAAAACCGAAAAATCCCTATCATCATTGTGAGTTACTTTGACAGTTAATCTCTATATTATATTCTTCCTGTTGATAGTCCTTTCAAATATGTATATAAAATAACTTTATCAAATTTCTAGGCTGGCATAATATCTACAGCTAATAACACTTGTATATGATTAGGAAAGAATAAATACTTAAAAGGTATTCGTAGTGAAATGATTAAGATATTAAAAAAATCATCACAATAGCGTATGTATGGTGTTTGGGAATGTCTCTTACTCACCCAGGAATCATGCACTAATACGGTATTTTCAATATTTTACATCATTGATGCTACTAATTTATACTTTTGTGTTATTCAATCAGCCAAACAGCTTAAAATGCTAATTAAGAAATGTGATACCTAATTTATCATTCTATTCACCACTTAGTACCATTTCAGTGAATTCCAACTCTCATTAATAATCTAGTGTTTTACCGTACCCAAGAATAAAAAGGTCACCAATTAATATTTAATTTGATAAATATTAGATCGATGAGAAGATTCTTGGACAAAATATTAGTACATTTTACCATTATGAAGAATGCATATCATTAATATGTATAGAATATAAATATACCGTTCATTTCTATCTTGTACTATAATGGTATTTATTCAAAATTTACCATTCATTCTGTATATGTGCAGGTTTCACATAACAACTAGTCGAAAAAGTCATGTTAATCTTGTTATAATTGCCTTTGCTTCTCTTCTAACTCTAGGGGAGGGAATTGCTGTAATACTACATGTTGTGCAAGAATATTGATAGTAGTGTTCAATGGTTTAACAGGTGGTATTTCTAGGTTTAGGCCTCACTTATTTTGCAATGAGAATGATCAGTGACGTTGGTATCTCTAATAGTTGTGAGTAAATGCGAAAAAGCTTATAAAGTAAAATATGTTGAATTTAAACATAAAAGACGACTATCTGTTGTCCAACGCAAGTATACACACTGTGTTTTTGTCTAATTTATTTATTTATTTGCTTAAACTCAGTCAATTTAGTTAAATTCAATATTAATTCGTGATTGGTTCTGACGATTCTCCCATTGGAAAACGGTTTTATCAACTAGTCTTTGCGAAAACCAGTTTAACTTGAGAATATTAAAGTAACTGTGCCACTCTTTGAGATAAGCTTGCCTCGCTCCAGAAAATGGACACAGCTACAGGGTTAAACTGATACAAGCTTCTATGCCATGTTTGTTTTGAATTTCGCGCAAAGCTACACGAGGGCTATCTGTGCTAGCCGTCCCTAACTTAACAGTGTAAGACTAGAGGGAAGGCAGCTAGTCATCACCACTCACCGCCAACTCTTGGGCTACTCTTTTACCAACGAATAGTGGGGTTGTCCGTTACATTGTAACGCCCCCACGGCTTTAAGGGCGAGCATGTTTGGTGTGACGGGGATTCGAACCCGCGACCCTCAGATTTACGAGTCGAGCGCCCTAACCACCTGGCCATGTCTATGCCATGTATCAGAAGCTTTACTAGGCACTGGCATACAGGGCCCAAATCCCTAGTTGGTGTCTTGAAAAATTAGCATAGAAAACCATGATCGATATCATACTGAAACGTCGAAAATTCCCGCGCCTACGGGCCCGAGCTTTAAATCTTTCAAGCACCTAGCGACGCCTCTGCCATTTACCCCTGAAAAAGGAAAGCCCACTTTCCTTAAGCGTTCAGGTTATTGGTTCCCTTTGTGATGCTACCTTTTTTCTGTTGGTCCTGCATGTTTTGGAATATCATGAAACAAGCTCCTTTGAGAGAGCCGTTTTCGTATGTAATGTTTACCTAAGCTAAACGACTAACACATGTTTACGACCTTTCGACCTCCTTCTAACAAAAATATCATAATTATATGCAGGACACCTCCACGAACATTTTGTATAATTACCTGAATACACCCTACTGTAGTTATATTCTAAAGCCGATGTGGAGGAATGAAATTATCAGTTGTTTCAACTATGGCAGCAGCAGAGTCAATAAAATAATAAATATGCAAAAATAAATTTGTTAAAACTATGTTATTTTTTCGTTTGTTGCATATGACCATAGTGATGATACGCTGAAAACTCTAAGGAATATGTTTTTTTAAACATTTCATTTGTAGGATTTGTTTATAAAGTTATTTGCAGTGATATGTATCCAAGTGTGCATAAATATAATATTTTGCGCAAATACATTTAAACTGCTAGGAAAAACTGACCAAAAGGTTGAGTGAAAACATTACCTTCTCGATTAAAAATGAATGCGACATTACTGTTAATCCATTGTTTTAGCTAATCACTAAATTAATGTTTTGATTACTTAAATTTTTTGACATGTTGTTGTGGATAATGTAATAAGAAAATAACTTAGTCAATAAAATATATTAAATATAAATAACTTAATAAGTATGTTCTTAAGAGTAAAGCATAATATCAGCTAAGCCATCATAGTAATTAATTTACTTTTCTACAGTTTCTACTCATAAAAACATATCACAACCACATTGGTAACTACCGGTGACATTGAGAAACAAAATACCACTGATAGACAGACTTTCTAAAAGTTTTAGGGTCAAATGGAGTGAGGTGAAGAAAGTAGGAATAAGAACGAATAAATCTGCAGACTGTGCAATGGATGCAGTGAGAAAGATTGCTGCAGCTACTATTCGTGGTGGAGTTTTCAGAGTAAGATAATTCAAGTTTGACATAGCATATTCAGATATATATATCTATTCAATTTTCTCTTGGAATGTGGATTTGCAAAGTACAAACTACAAGTGTAACTCTTACTCAGTGTTAGGCTTAACCTTTTCAATGTAATATAGTTCCTTTTACTAATTTTTAGTAATAATAGTACAAACTGTACAGAGTAGATTAATTTTAAGCAATCCTAACGTATTAACAGTTTAAATGTCTGTTTCAGCATTATTTTAAGTCATTCGTAATTCTCTAACGCAGTACTGTATTCCAAAGAATATGGTACAAGTTTTAAACCATTATTTACACCAGTATTCAGATATTTTTTCTTAACATGTTGACATTTTTCCTGTACTGTAATACTAAAGTTAAAGGAACTGCATACAGTACCTTAAAAGAGGCCTCACCAGTTTTATTATGTTACTGCAATAACCTTCAAATATATAATTAAAAGTCAAGAACTACATCTAGCTTGTTACATTTTTCCCCCACATTTAAACACATGGCTACAATGTAAAAGCTTTATCAAAAACATCTTTGTCATTCTGTTTGAACATGAACAATCCTTATTTCTTTTCTTGGACCTTTTCAGAAAACTTAGAATAGAAGTATTACTAACCTAAAATTCAGTGTTATCAATGATGTTTTGAAGAAATTTCTTGCCTATATCCATAATGTGTTTTTTATGCTGCTTATTACTGTGTTACATAATCATTGAAATTTTTGTGCATTCCAGTATGTATATAGATTGAATCCACAATTAATTTTATAGTGGTGAAGTAGTACAGGGGCTGTGACCTCTTTACTGTTGCAGCAGTATTGGGGGTGTTGATAGTTAATTTAATTTAAACAACTAAAGGTTAAACCAGCAATTACATTGAGATTATGGAAATGGATATAAACTTCTTGCTAAATTTTATTAAAAATTCACATTATATGATATTTATAAGCATGAATATATATGTAGATTGTGTTTTTTTGCTTTTGATGGTGTATGTTTATTATTATTTTTATATAACATGCTGATATAACACGAATTGGGCCTGAGTTAAGGTATTTTCTACTTGATTGTAGTTGTATAGTTTGACCTAAAAAAACATATTATGGTATAATCTCTAAAATAATTATCAGTATATTCATTACATATTTCAGGATGTGAACAAGTGTCGTCAGTTGGCAAAGTTTTCAACATCCAGACATGTCGCTGCTCAAGTAAGAAATATGAATACTTTATGCTGCTATATTTATGATAAAAATTATGTAAATTAGTAGTTTTTAGAGCATATACAGATTTAATGTCTTATAGAGATAAGTTATAGGTATTTTTAGGGCTAGGATTATAATTACATAAGTATTCTGAAATTTCAGTAACTTTTAATTGAGGCTCTGATGCCATATTGATATTTTATTAATTTTAATCTATATATGGTAACCAGACCTGACAAAAAAAACAAACAGAAGGAAGAGCATCACAGAGCTATACTATAGGGAGTTGGACTATGGTAATTAAAACTGAGCATTGTTCCATCAAAGATTATGAAACAGCTTAACATATAGACAAAGGACCATTTAGGCCTTCAAAGCTGTAAAAATTTAAACCCACTTGCTATTTTTTAAGGAATTCATCAATATCGCTCATAAACTCTTGTAGAGTAGTGAGTTGCCTTTCAGTCATTCCATAAGTCAGTCACCATATTAGAAAAATAAAACTATCTTAACTGGAGCCTAGCCTATCTTTTTTTTCAAGTCTTAAACTAGTATCTTCTCATCTTATGACCTTCAGAATACAGCACAAACAAACCAGAAGACTTTATTCTGTGAGTTTCCTAGCTAATCTTTAAGCTTTAGCAGAAAGTAAATTATCTTAACCTATCCCTGTAAGATACACTACCATCTCAGGAATCATCCTAGTGGCCTTCTTCTGAACCATTTCCAATAAGTTAATATTCTTATTTAAATAAGGAGACTAAAACTGCCCATAGTATTCTGTGAGAGACCCAATTATAGGTAATTATTTCCTTTGATTTGTAGTCAGCATGTCTATAAATACATCCCAAATTTCAATTAACGCTATTACTAGCATCAGAGCACTATTTCATAGGTTTTGAGTGACTTGTTCGTCACTATGCCAAATCCTTTTTTTTTTTTCGTCCATCCATGCTGTTGAGTGGGTTCCAATATATTGAACATGTGATCTTGTTTATGATAACCCATACTTTAACATCCTAAATACAGTTACAAATACCCAAAAGTTTTAATGCCATCAGAAAACTTTACTAATTTATTAATTATTCTCAATCAGCATTATTATGTTAATAAGAAGACTCAAAGGCCCAAGCACTGACCCCTGAAGTACTCACTAGGAACAAGTTACTTTTACCTACACGTGCAGTGTAATTTATAGTGCATTATACTTTTCATTTTTATGTCTACTCTGTTTTTTTATGTGTGTTTTTTAACGTTTTTGAGTCACAATACATAGATATATTGTGTGGGTTAAGTAATAAAAGTTTTCATATATTAACTATAATGTCTGTTAGGTGTTTCTGTGTATGTGAACACATATTCATTTCTCTCACTTCACAGTTGACTGTAAGAGATGCTTTGAATGCAGCCATGGATGAAGAGCTTGATCGAGATGAACGAGTACTTGTAATGGGGGAGGAAGTTGCTATGTTTGATGGAGCATATAAGGTACTGTATTTTAGTGTTTAAGTACATAATTCTTGGAGGGTTGCATGTATAAGTTTACTACTTCGCAGGAGCCATATAGAGGATTATTGAAGACGTGAGGAGATGATGTTAATTTTTTTAAATGCGATTATCAACTCAAATATATATGCAGTGATGCACCATAACAATTTTTATATCTTGCTTGAAATGACAAAAATTACAAGGATCATTTAATAGAAAAAAATACAACATATGCTTAAACCATTAACTCTACAACATAATGTATAATCTTATACAGATTAACCATCACCCCTATCCAGAGCAGTATACATCTGCATATCATATTTCAAAATTTAAATTAATTTTTTTTTAATCTAATCCAACAATTTTATTTAGTTAAAATATTTCGGAACTGATATTTTGTAGTGTAATAAGTTCAAACTTACATTTCTGGACAGTGCTGAGAAGATTTTGCCTGTAAACAATGCATTTATAAAAGTTTTCTGAGGAACTATCACTGCTTGAGAATTCTTTGTTTCTCACACAGTTTTCTTTCCCTTTCTTTGATTTTCAATGTTATTCTTTCTCTTTTATGATGTCGCAGCATGTGATCAGAACAACTAATGTATTTCTGCTTTTAAAATAGTTACAGGAAAAGTTCCATTGAATAGGATAGATTATTATGTGTTGTATTGGTGAGCAGGTTCTTTTGTATTATTTGGTAAAAATAATGCCAAGTCCAGTCCACCTTAGGATAATGAATTAATTTATTTCTTCTGTAACTTTTGCTACTAACTATGTTAACTTTGACACAAATTGTAGGCCTAAGTTCACAATGTCTGAACAGAAATTCCAAGAATAATGTTACATTTAACTGTTATTATGCCTACATGAGACAACAGATCTACTCAAAATACTTTGCAGATAAGTGTATAACTAGGGTTGTATTTAAGGGTAGTTTATATTTGTTTGAAAACCCTTTTATTTCACAAGTAATCCATATAAATGAAATAAGATATTCATGTGTAGCTTAAAAATACATTACAAAGAACAGTAATTATGTTTTTATATTGTGAATTAAAAAAATGCATGTTGTTTATGTACTTGCATTTGATGCTACATGCAATACTCATACGGCTACCTACAGCAAGTTTACACTGCAAGATTACCCTTTTGAGGCTAAGTAAAAGAACTAATGCTGACTTAACCATTTTGCATCAGGCTCGTGCAATTTGTGTAAATTGAGTCACGAATTTCACATGTACAATAATTTATGCAATAACTCTGAGGTTACTTGGCATATCGTCCCAAAAACTGGTAAGATTTTGTTAAAGATCATAAATATCTTGTACACAAAGAATGACATTATTATAATTAAGTGTTTTTATTAAAAATATGTTGTTTTTTCTATTGTAGTTACTTGTCTTCAAACTATTAACAAATCTAGTGCAAGGTGATTTTAATTTTAAGTATAAAAACACCTTTCTTCATTTTATAGTTTTCATATTTCATTTGCATAATCTCTAGAACCTCCTAAAGGATATCAAAAGTTTTTAAGGTCAACATTTATATTTTATTTTTAATTTTCTCTACAATGTCACTAACTGTAGATATTATCATCAACATACAATGCAATGAAATAATTAAAATAGGAAATAGAAAAAAAAATACATACCTTTTAATTTTTTGTAGAATATCTTTAAAGATATCCTTTTGTTAAATTTGTAATTTCAGGTCTTTTACTTTTCACGTATTGCTAAGTTTTAATGTTTTATTTTCCTTTCTTGTCTTTTACCACTTATAATTCATCTTGACACAAGTCAACAGTGCCCTCGAGGTATATTACAGTGTCTGTGGGAGACATGTGCAACCCTTTGGCAAAATTTTCATTCAGCATGTAATATCATAAGTCTTGAGAAGGTGCTCAAAGTATGATCTATATTTAAAAAGTATTAAAACCTTTTAATTATGCTTTTTAAAACATAATTAACTAAAATATAATAGTAAGAACTAAATATAATTTGAACTGTATCTCTAACTATAACATAGTTAGGTAAGACATAACCATAAGTGCTATAGTTGATAAAGCAGCCAACAATACAGTCAGTTCCATGTACTCTGTGACAACAACTGAGCACCAATTTCAAAATAACTATTGTTAGATTATAGTTTAAAATAATCTCTTTCTACTTACTATATACATGTGTATGTACCACCTTCATGTAGACTATAAAGCTCAAACAAATCTGTTGAATATCGGCGTGGCACATGTCAAGGGTTTAAAAAATTTATCGTTTTAATCGTATTCATTCAAAGAACTTTGAAATGTGCGAGTCAAAAAGCTATGTAAGCATCTTATTGTCTAGACGTATCTCTACTCAACTACCATTGTATTGAAGATACGAAGAGCCAAAGTAGAGAATTTTCATAGCTACCTACCTCCTTGAAATCTTGTTTTGAAAGAAAGAAATGGCATCAAAACATGTTAAAATGGCTGAGAAAGCCACTAGGGAGACATTCTGACCTTTCGATTGGTTATTAGTGTCATATATTAAAGGAAGTGTATATAAGGGAGTGCTTCCAAAAATGGAAAGAGGTGGGAGAGGAGCCACTCTGTTTGATTTATTACATAAACAATATTTCAGCAAAGAGAAAATATAGCATGTACGGTGGTTTCTTACCTAAATATGCTATAGTTAGAGACAGTTAAATTGTATTAAGTCTTACTTTTATATTTTAGTTAAATATGTATTATGTGTGTTTTTAAAATCATATTTGAATGATTTAACTTGTTGCCTAGATTTTGAAAGGTTATAAACAAGATGGTGTGTGTAAGCGACATCTTGTTTCAGCTACGAGTCTCTGCAGGGAGTCTGTTGTAAATACATTCGTAAAGCCCAGCAGGCATCAGTTAACGTATGGGCATAAAATATAATAGATGAAGAATTTGAAAGGAAATTTAAAATGAACTATAAGTGAAAAGCTAAAGATGTAAAATTTTGCATATAAGAAAAATACGACTATTCTAGTGGATTTCTACAAAGAGTTGAAAGGTATGTATATAGTCATAGGGTTATACATTGAAGTTTTTTACATTATCTCTAAAGGACATTAATTTTTCAATTATTTCTTTTGTCACCAAGTTTATGTAGTAGGCATGTATGTAATATTTCACACTATCAATAATTATTCCACAATTAGATGCTATAATTACTTTTAAATTAACCCCATTTAATCATGACATTCAGTTATGGAGTGTACTAGATAGCAAAGTTAGTCTTAACTGAAGCTTTTTGTAGCTGTAGTTAGAATGAATAAATTTAAAGTTTTTTTCCTCAGATATATTATTTCATTCTTTTTTTTCTCACTGATATTTTTTGTGCATTACATGATTCTAGTGTTATAGCAGAGAAAGGAGTAAAACTAGTGACTTAGAGCATAAAATGTTACTTGTGCGATTTAAGATATTTAATAATTCTTAGTAATTTTCTTGTTACAAAGAAGAAATTACCAAATTTTTAACTTTCATGAGATATTTTTAAAAAATCTTATTTTTTTTTTATTAAGGTCAGTCGTGGACTATGGAAGAAATATGGTGATAAACGTGTGATTGATACACCTATCACTGAGGTAAGTACTACTTGAAACTAGATGTAAAGTGTAATATTTTTGTTTATGTTTTTTATTATTCATATGTGTAAAAACCTTTATTAGCTAATTATTTGTAATGTTTATTCCATGGTTCTTAAGGCCTGACGTACTGTACAAATCATTATTAACACACTCAACACAGGCATGGTCAATTTGACCAAGCACGTGACCTCTTTGTACTGGTTTAAAGTCTTTATAGATTTAATACTTCTAACTTTCAATATATTGTGTATATCTTCACAAAATTTGCCAGTCTTTCACATACAAAAAATCATATTTTTTTAGTAAAGTATTTTTAATAAACTAAAAGAAAGATTTGTTCAGGAATATATTGAGTATTTGTTTTGAATAACCCATGTGCAAAGTGATTTTCATATTAAAATTAAAAATACGTTTCCTTATCTCACAAATCTCAAATTTCCTTTGTGTAATCCCTAAACTCATAAATACATTTCAAACGTTTTTGTTTCAGTAAAACTATATTTTATGTGTTATTTTCTCTACCCTATCTCTATATGGGATTGGTCAGTCTGACTGACCCCAGAACCACCAAAAATATCAAAATATATCTAAATTACCCTTTTTTATTTCTAAAATGAATTCAAATTGTAACATGAAACTGCAATCGTTTATCCTAAGTAGCTTTAAGCTTGTAACAGTATACATGTATTTATAATAAAATTTTACTGTTTTATTGCCCTTTGAACCATGTCTAACTACTATCTGTGTCATTATAAGTTATAAATCACCAAGGGAATGTGCAGCTCATGTTACGCTATCGAATTACATTACCCATGAGCTGCTACTAACTGATCTCATGTGTGCTTCGTGAAATATTTTTATTATATGTTTTACCTAATTTAATCTTAACTAACCTAAAAAGATCCCTATTTTTACATTTTAATTACTTTTATAATAATAAATAGAATAAACATGAAAAATAAAGTACTTACCCAATCTTCTTTTTTTTCTTGCTGTCAATTGCTGATGGCACTTAACCCTACTTTTTTCATACTAATGGTAGTAATGTACTAAATAATTTCTATTAAATTAAATAATGCACCAAAGAATACAGACTAATAATATACAAAAAGTAGCCAATATCCTTTAACTCTCAAAATTTTTCTGGGTTTATAACTATGCAACAAAAGCCGTTACAACTTCATCCAAGCTCGTCGTTAACTTGTACTCTGAGTAAAATTGATGCTTATTTGTTCAGAACACATTATACAATAAGTAATTTTATAAATGAAAACCTTGACTTTCTATTGGTTATAGGTAAAATATAATTAAACGTAAGAATGAACTATTAACAGATCCTGAAAGAGAGGATGTGACAGGTGGGTGTGGTAGGAGGGGGTCTGATTTTCTATTTGATAGCTCTCTAACCAAACAAAATTGAAGGCTATAAAAATTATGGTTTGTCTGAGCAATGACTATTTTATAGTGACTAATTTATGTTTAATTTTGTACATTTTGGAGGGGTGGTGGATAAAATAGAGAAGATACCTAGAGAAAATGTGTCGTGTCACATTAGGGGAATTCAGAATTGTTTTAAATATTGCCGTGTAGAATTAAGAACTTAAAACTTATATGCTATTAAAATATTATTGCATATTAATCATAATAGTTGTTTCAATTCTTATACCTGATTTTTCGTTCTTTAGATGGGTTTTGCTGGAATAGCTGTAGGAGCAGCCATGGTGAGTGAATATTTGTACAAATATAGTAAGTTATAACTGGTAAAAAAGAAAAATAAAGTATAAAAAGTATTGCTGAAAGTACATAGTTAATAGTAAGTTGTAAGCATTTATCTAGTCAAATCTGAACATGTATCCATATGATTCAACAAATAATATGTAGTAATAGAAATTTATATAAATCTCATTTTTAGTTTGTTAATATTTTTAATCAAATTCTCTTTGATTTTACCTTCTGGTATTAATTTGTGATTCTCATCCTGATGAGTGTTAATCATTCAGTGTTTCATATATAGGATATTTGTATTTCATAGATTAAAAAAAGTTAACTATGTGCCCTATCCTCAGAGATGTTTCATTATTAATGATTTTATTTTAAGCCCTTTAAAAACTAATAATGTTGCAACCCTTGGTGGTTTTTTGAATACAAAACTTAAGTTATCTTGCGTGTTATCATCAATAACTAGTTTAATTTGGAAATATACCAGTCACTTTTTTCTTTACAAAAAGACTGGTCTTTATCAGAATTTTCAATTACTTTAAAATCCATCAAAGTTTTGAATGTACAGTGTATAGTCAACTTGAAGATACTTGGTCTAACAAAAATTATACCTGCATATTAAGCCCTCCACAATGTCTGTGTGCCTCAGTTCTCAGTTAGGTACAAAGTAGAGTTTATTAGAACAAAGTCTTGCATATTATGTTCAAAATGTAGTTTAGACTTGCTTGTTTTTAATCAGTTATTTTTCTTGAACTGTTCAAATAACTTTTTGAGTGTTGGTTTTTTAAATTTGGTTTACATTTTGTTAAACCTTTTTTTTTCATTCCAGTTTAAATTTTAATTGGATTTAAAATTTAGTTGTTTTTCTACAGGAAGTTCCCTTTAGGAAATAAAAGTCCAAGTTTATAATGGTATTGACCCAATTAATATAACATGGATTTTTACTTTTTATAACAATTAGTTCTTATGAAGTTCTTGTTTGTTTAACTTGTGACCCTAGCAATGATTCTTTGGGTCTTTTAGAGGTTTTTATAGATATTACTAATGACTTTATGTCTTGATGATTTAAGATATGCTTCTTTATTTATTTTTTTGATAAATACATCTGTGTGAGATAGCATATTTTCAAGGTGCAACAAATCTTGAAGTCTTTACTTTTTTTTTGCCTGAAGTTTATACTTTTATCATCCTCCTGTATTTTTTTAAATTCATTTAAACATCTGCAGCCTCAGATTACTGAGAGTTAAATTTATGGTACTAACCAGTTTCAAGATGATCTTCTGTATGTGAACTTCCTTTTAAACATATTTTAAAAACAGATGTGAAGAATTGAACGTGTTGATCTTCATTCATTATTTTCTGATGTGTTAGTATCAGTCCTTGAAAGCCATGACAGTTTATAATAAACAGCAAGTAAGACAGCAAAAAAAAACATTCCATCATAAGAAAACAAAGTGTAAAACATTTTCCCACTAATTTAATTTATAATGTATAAACTGTCTCTCTTGAGATTTATTTCAAACACCCATCTCATTCATGATTTTGGTATGTATTTGTACATTTCTTGAGGAAAGGCTTGGAAAAAGTAGGTAGGTAATATTACAAATCTAGTTTTTAGTTTCAAGTTCGAATTTGTACTTGAATATTTCCTGTGGGCTGATGAAAATATTGATAATTCCCTGTTTAGTAGCTTTTACAGTGTATTAGTTTAATTAATAAAACATTTGTTTAAATCAAAAAGTGATTCAGAACCATAGCTAGCACGCACTCTGTCAAATCATGTGTAGTTTTATTTTGGATTATTTATTGCATGTCTTAGTATTGAAGGGGATGGTAAATTTAAATACTTTAAATTTACAGAAGTTTGATATATTTCAGATATTTCTTGGTACAAAAAAACTTAAAAGATATCATTTTATTTTATTTGAAGGGAAAAGAATATTGCAAAACAGAACTGTTAGGAGTATTTAATCTTATTTTGCTAACATTAATCAATTAATACTTTTTTATGGGATTTTGACTTTCTGGGAAAGATTAATACCATGTGGTCAGAACACATCAAATATTTTTCCTGGGATTTAACGTGGAAAGCTGCCTGTAATTTGATATGATTTCATCAAAAATGTTTGATCAATATAAAAAACCTAATGTAAGTTTTCATTTTTATCTTGATGAATATGCTTGCCTTGTACCCCACTCAAATGTATCCTTAAGTGGAAAGTCTCTTCAGAACGGATAAAGGCACTTTTCATGGTGTTGTCTTGATTAATGCACTTATAGCAACAATTTTTTGTCGTTCTTGTTGATCTTGTTTTTACCAAAAATAGTTGCTACCAGGGAAGGTTCTTAAAATATTTGTATGATAGAAGTTTGTAAGGAAGCCAGGGTTAATGTTAAATAATTTTTGTTATTAATTTAAAAAATTGTAGGAAACTCAAAAGTACTCATTACATTTTTATCTCTGTATTTAATATTTAGGCAGGATTAAGACCCATCTGTGAATTCATGACCTTTAATTTCTCCATGCAAGCCATTGATCAAGTTATCAACTCTGCTGGAAAAACATTTTATATGTCTGCTGGAATGGTAGGTAAAATATACAGTAGGTATTTTTGATTATTCTACTGTTGATCCTACTAACTTATATTTTGTGAATTAGTGATTATTAGCTTTTAGTTAAATTTTAATAACATTATACTTTTAAAGAGACGTTAGGCGACAATACTAATAATGACTCACTTTTGCCTTTTCTATTAACTCTATAAGAATGAAGTTGGGCAATTTGACAACCATGAAACTATACATACTATAACTATTAACTTACTATGTGTATCTTTACAATATTTGGCAAGCATTTAGTAAACATTACAAGTCTGGTGTCCACAGAAATTATATTTACTAAAGATTTGTCTGTGAACTTATGAAACCTTTAATGAGTTAGCCTTGAGTGAAAGTTGTGATATTCATGCTAAGAATAAAAATACTCATTTTCATCTTATAGTTTTTGTACTTCTTTTGCACAAACTGTAGAACTTCCTAAATGAATATCAAAGTTTTTTGGTAAAAATATACATTTTCATCTCTTATTTTATCTATCCTTACACTAACTGTAGAAGCATCAACAATTTACAGTAAAATAAAAGTTTAGAAGTATGAAATGAAATTAATAATATAATATTTTCCTCTTGCAGTATTGATTAAAAAATTCCATAGTACATACCTTAACAGTTTCAGCTGTTTACCTTTTCACATCTAAAAAAAAATCACAAAAGAACAAGGATTTGCGGTACTCACTTTGTGCTTGATCCATTTGCATTTCAGTAAAAATAAAAACACTATCATTTATAACCAATAGAAAGGCAAAGTTTTAAACTATTGAATGACATATAATGCTCTGTTATTTTCAGTACAGAGTATTGTCAAATTTCATTTTTGTTTTGAAAGTTTATCACGAGTCAAGCAGCTAAGGGAATTAATTTAAACCCCTCTTGTTTTAGTTAGAAAGCCAATTAAATTGTAATAGTTATAGGACATTGTTTTCTTTGTGCATGTTATTTGTTTGTGTTCTTAGGAGCATCATTTAATTAAATAAGAATTATTTTGTGTACTAGTATTAGGTCGTCAAGAAATTAATGTAGTGTTTTTGAACACTTTCATTAACCACCCCCCAAAAACATACATCACGTATAATAGTTAAATGAACCACCTAAATGTCACGTTGGTGTAGCCTATATAATGTTTAAAATTTAATATACTCTAATTCCTTATACTGATGGCACACGATGAGACACACATTTGGCATGTAATGCTGTTTGAATACAAGAAGGGAAACAATGCCTCTGTAGCCAGAAAGAATATCAAAGAAGTGTATGGAAATATTTTGAATGGTCATAAATGTCAACGATGGTTTAGCAAATTTCGTTCAGGTGACTTTAGCCTTAAAAACTGTGATTGCAGGGGGCCGACATGTTGGAATTGATATTGATGCTCTGAAGACGCTTGTTGAGTCTAACCCAAGGCAACACACTCATGAAATGGCCCTGAAATGGGGAAACTCCATAAAGAAGGTGTTTGGGTGCCTCATGAACTCTCCGATGATCATCGTTTCTAACATGTGAACGTTGCTTCGTCTCTTCTGGCATGTAATGCATGTGAACCATTTTTGGACAGAATTGTCACCGGTGATGAAAAATGTGAATATTAAGCACCAAAAACAATGGCTCAGTCCTAGACAAAAACCACTTCCTACCCCAAAACTTGGACTCCATCCACAGAAAGTGAGGCTTTGCATTTGGTGGGACATCAAAGGAGTAATTCATTTTGAACTCCTCAATCCATAGTGAACTGTCAATGCAGAGATCTATAGTTATAGATCTATAGACTATTTTATTTAATAAATGTTTTTTTTTATATACAAGTTGTTTGGGTTTTTTCAACTAAAAAAAGTGATATTAATTTCTTGACGACCTAATACCATCATTATAAAAAAGTAGGCTTAAATTTCATTGGCAACTGACAGCAACTTCTTGTTTTTCATGTATATTCTTTATGTATTGCTATAAGAGTAACTAAAATGTAAAAAATAGAAACTTATTAGGTTAGATTTGATAAGTTAATTAAAAAAAACAATAATAAAAAATTCATCTTGAGATATGCTTTATGAGCCATTCATAAGTTTCTTCATTCTGTGTGGTAAAATGAGCCACACATAACACTTGCTGAGTGATTTACAACTTGTGTGGTGAGATTATTAGTTATAGACGGTTCAAAGGGTAATAAAACAATAAGATTAAGTATAAACAGTTGCAATTTTCTGTTGTAATGTGCAGTCATTCTAAAAAGAAAAGGAGAGTTATAAAAAATTTGTTTTATTAGGGTTACAAGGCCAGTCAAATTAACTGAGTCCATATAGAGTTAGGGTAGATAAAATACTAAATTTTATTGAAAAAAAATTTTCATATTTATTTAAGAGGTTTTAGAGGTTATGAAAAATTATGTTTGAAAATTTTCATACGAAGAAAAGTATTCTTAATCTTAACATGAAAATCACTTTGCACTTGGAGCAGTCAATGCTCTGGCTCCATATATATTTAGTAAAAATACTTAATTGAAAAAATCAGATTTTTGTGTATAAAACACTTGTAATGTTTAGTAAAAGCTTTCCAAATTTCCTAGTTGTAATATGTATATTTTCATGGTATCATGGTGGTTACAAGGTCATGTAAAATACATGAGCCTGTGTCCATTGAGTTAACACAGATCTGATTTAATCTGATTAACTTTCAGCTGTTTTACTTTATTTTAAATGCCATGCAATGTTTTCTTTTTCTAGCAAAATAAATAGTTGTGGACAAATTAAACTTGACTCTGTATGCACCAATGTGTCAATCAGATAAATTTAAACATCTTGATTTAATATATTTGTTTATAGGTAAATGTGCCCATTGTATTTCGTGGACCCAATGGAGCAGCAGCAGGAGTTGCAGCACAGCATTCTCAGTGTTTTGCTTCATGGTATAGCAATTGTCCTGGTCTTAAAGTTATTTCACCTTACTCTGCAGAAGATGCTAAAGGTCTCTTAAAATCAGCTGTCCGAGACCCTGACCCAGGTGTGGTGGTAAATTTCAAATTTATAGTTTTTGTAACTTTTGTCATTATTACATCTTTTCACCTTTTTTTTTTCAATTTGAATTATTTCATAAAGGTTGCTTTTTATGGATCATTTTCTTGAATTTATTTCTATTTATAAGATTAAAGTAACAACAGTAAAAACGGTTAAGCATCAAACAGGAAATAAAAATAAAATTTCTATAGAATATTTTGGAAAAAAAATTTATAAGACTGAAATTTTTATCATTAACTTTATAGTGTTTTGTACAGGACCCACTTAATGTGCACAAAATGAAGAGTTCATAGAAGTTGTATAAGCTATTTAGCATGGAAAATCTTGTTTTAGTAATGTTAAGCAAAATACAATTTATGTTGTTATACCTTGCTAGATAAAAGAAATGCCCACCAGTGGCTAAGCATTAAGGCTGAGGGCTCATTATACTAAAAATTGGGTTTTGATACCCATGATGGTCACAGCACAGATAGTCCATTGTGTAGCTTTGTGCTTAACATCAAACGAGTCACCTAAGTATTAGTGCTGTAAATATAAATCAATTAATTGATAAATTTCAATGCATTTCAATTGGTGATCAAAATATGTAAATGAAAATTGAGTTTGTGACAATAATCTTCAAATAAAGAATTGTGTTGTAACTTACCATTTTGCTATCAAGTTTCCATGATGCAGACAGAACACTTTATAGAGCTGGCTTTCTTTATAAAATGGAGATCAGTCTATGACACTAATTTATCCTTGTGGGATTTTCCTGTAGTTGCATATGAAAAATGGAAACTCCAAGCCAATAAAACTTAGTTCTTTCGAGATTGTGGCAAACAATAAGCAAAGAAATGTTTTGTCAAAGCCAGATAGAATCGTACTTCTTACTTTCTGAAAAATTAAAGAATATTGTATCACCAGACTATCTTGCTTTGTATGTTGAAAGTGTTAAGTATTTGGTTTTAAAGAGACTAAAGTTAGGCAGCATATTGCAGTGCAACAGTGCTATCTTACAATACAAAATATAGAGTCAATACTCAACCCTACTAGACATTTGTAAATCATCTACTTGCTCTATAGCAGCATTTCTCAAATTGGGGTCTGCAAGAGAACTCCAGGGGTTCACCAGCCATGTCTGAAATTTCATAAAAATATTTAAACAAATATGATTTATATAATAAAGAATATTTTTTCATGAAATAAAATTTATATGAATTAAAACATTTAATTTTGAAATGCAGCTTTTCATGTACACTGAACTTTTATTCAAAACAAAAAAACACTGATGGGTTTGGGGGGGGTTCACGAAAAACTTTTAATTTAAAAAAGGTTCTCAGTTTACTAAAGTTTGAGAATTTCTGCTCCATAGCACAAACAAAATTGAAACTGTTGAGATGTCTAGAATTTATATTTTATATTTTTGTTTTAGGTGTCATAAAATACTATTTTTCATATTTACAAAAAAAAATGTTTCGAGAATTGCTTTTATCCCAAATGCAATTACTTCTTTTATAAAGTTTAATTTTTAATATCATCTATTTTTTATAGGAATTAAATGCAACTGTTTCTCAGCTAAAAAATTAATCCTGTAGAGAAAACTTTGTTAGAAAAGGCCAGTTACTTCTAGAATTATACAAAATGACTGGGCACAGCTTTTTGTGATGATAAATTCTTAGTTATATGAAATTATTTATCATACAATTCTTAATTAGAAGCTTAACCTGCATCATTCTAAAAAATTATATATGTACATTTCTTATAAGAATTGAAAAATGAAAATAGTGAATTGACCCATAGTTTGGTAACTATGAGCTATAAAGAAAGACTACCTGTTTAATTTCAGATATTGTACTACTGATAGTAGTGTATGTTATTGGGATGCAAATGTTTTCTATTTATTTTTATGCAGTTGAGAACTATATATATATATATATGAATTTGTTAGTTTAAACCCATTACCTTATCCAACAAGTCAAAGCTTAGACAAGATTGAATTTCCTCAATCTCTTATTTGAATTTATGGCTGAAAATGTAGTTAATAATAAAGGTATCCATCTCGTGAATTAATGCATCCTAATCATTATACATTTTAGTTTTCTTTGTGTAATGATTTATGACAATACATCTCTAGTAATTTTGATATACAGAATTAGCATCATTAATTTATAACTTACTTGTTAATTCTAATCTGTAGAGTTAACTTGCTTTATTTTATCAGTAGCTAATGATAATTTAAAATATTCCAGCATATTTAAAACTAAATAATCTAGACATCATTGTACTGTTAAGCCACAAGCATAGTAGAGCAATAGGTTTTAATCCAGTCTAAAGAAAACTATAAAAGTACAAATCTAAATTCCAGTGTTTTAGAATTAAATTTTAAAGATTTTAGTTACTTGCAGAAAACGAATTCATCACTTCTAAACTAGTTCATTGCATTTTGATTTAATCTTTTTTTTCTTGTTCATTTTTAGTACAAGTTCTTCAAAAATAACATTTACTTCATCTTTAAATAAATGCAATTTGTTCTTTTAGTTGTGTTTCTTGAAAATGAAATTATGTATGGCACCAGTTTTGAAATTTCTGATGAAGTTTTATCAAAGGATTTCCTTATACCTATTGGAAAGGCAAAAATAGAAAGGGAAGGTAAGTGGGATCTTTATTTATCTTAAAAATTCAAGTACATTCCAAAAATCAGACAAATTTTCTTTGTCTGAGCAGGCTTTTTTTTATAAATTGTCTTTTTGTCACTCAATTTTTAATGAGCTAAATCTCTAAAATTTTGGAAACTGGTTAATATATAAATGGTGAATATATTCAAATGCAAAATTTCATACACATCACAGTATTTTTTTTATTGTGTATAGATTTCAGATTTGCTTAAACATATTTTAGACAGCTAAAGTTTTATTGAGCAATCACTATACCCAGACAAAATAAAGTGCAAATCAAAAGATAAATCTGACGAACTTAGCAGCAGATTGAAGCAATAATAAACACGATCTAAAGAAGTAATGGGAAATGACATGTAGCAGAGCTGGATAGAAAATGGAATATGAGTACGAAGATTTCTGAGATACAGTGCTGTTCATAAACTATTATAAAAGACACATACAGATCAAAGTAAGTGATTACATAGCAATGGGTGGAAATACAATAGAATCTTGGAACAAGACTATTTTCCTGTAAACCTTTAAACAGATCCTCATTTTGTGCTAACCTGAATATGTTGCATATTTTCATAGGTAAACAAACTTGCTGATCCAGTGTTCTAAAACATTGGGGAATTCTTTAGATGGGTGGCCGATATGGAGATCGGTCACAGGCTTAATTTTATTTAATTTTTTTTTTTTACTATCTTTTCATTTCACTATATGTGAATTATTTCATTATGGTTAGTATTAGGATAAAGAAAATAACTGATAAGGTATAAAGCTTTATTGAAAGAAGCTTTTGATATTCATGTAGGAGGTTCTGTAGTTTATGAAAATCACCATGAACTCTTATTGACTCAGTAAAAGCTTCAGAAATTCACAGACAAATCTTTTGTAGAAATACTTTATTAAAAATTCTGATATTTTTGTACACAATAAACTTGTAATGTTTAATACAAGTTCACCAAGTTTTTTGAAGATACACTTAATATTTTCTGAGTTATAGTACATGTTACATGATGGTTACAATGTTGTTCATCATGACCAAGCCCATATTCAGAGAATTAACACAGTATAAGAGATTTTAGATTTTATGGTTTTTTGTGTTGTTCTAATGTCTTTGGAAATTTGTTTAAGCATATCGTACTGAAAATCTGTATCAAATTTTACTTGTGACAGGAAAACACATAACACTTGTGGCTCACTCTAGACCTGTAGGAATGTGTTTGGAAGCAGCTAAACAACTAGCTAGTTCTGGAATTGAATGTGAGGTGAGGGGTCTGAAAATTGTATAATTTGTACAGAAAGTAACTTAAGTTCTAGCAGTCTCCTTCATTTGATTTATATCATTATTATGTTGTTCCCTTTTTTAACTTGTCACTAGTGTGATGAAACAATGTAAGAAAGATTCTTAGTACAACTTTTATTGTAAAAAACAATACCTGACAGAAATGCTTCACATCTAAAATATTTTTTAGTTTATTTTTGTTTTATAATTTGTTCAGTTTCATTTACAATTAACATGTTATTTGGATAATTGTATATGACTTATACACTAGTACTTAACTTTTTTATTATTACTAGAAACATGGATATTTTTTAAATTTATTCTTTTAAAGTTAAAATTGTTAAGGTTATGTTGGCATAGCATGAATTAGTATTGTTTTTACCAAACTTAGAAAATTTTCATTCATTTTGAAATATTGTACACCACAAAGGGTTGTTTGCAGTTCTTGTGAATCACTTAAAAACATATTTTCAATCTACTTCGCTACTACGTGTAGCATGCAAGGGATGTGGAATTTCATTTGTCTTTTATTGATATGTTTTCATGCATGGTGGGGCAAAAGTCAGTGATAAGGAGTTCACTCCTGATAAGAGATATTGAATGAATTCTGTCATCTTTCCTGTATAGGTTTTTGCTATGAATGATTTCCCTGTGCTATCCTTTTATTTGGAATGTATAGGAACACTCGTTTAGTAATGCAGTGTACATGTAATTTGTTTTTCATTCTCACCAAGCAAAAGTTCCTTTTCTTAGTTAAAAATCCAATCCTTTATTTTACTTTATACAATAACACGTGTATCTTGTACCACCTTCATAGATTATTTAAATTGTTTATGTAATTCATTCTTTTAGAGATGTCATGAAAGTCAAGGCCAAAGCTTTTTTTATCTTTATGTTACTGCTATTGAAACAACCTATATAGTGTTTACTTGCAAGACTTGGAGGTTTCAGCATTCAATACACTTTGACCAAGGTTGATTTTGGGTCATGAAAAACCTTGACTTATAGAGCTAAAAAGAATCTGGTCTAAACATTATCTGAAACTTATGTCTTTGTACAGGAAGGAAAATTAAAAAGTTTCTGTAATTGCTCAAGAGAAATGTTATTATGAGTATTAAGTTAATAAAATAGGAATATTGACCCATTGACTGTAGCTGCTCTAAATGTGCACAGTATTTTTGCAAGCTGTACACCATATATGGCATACTCGCATTCAACTGCCGAATGCAGACCATATCCTATATGGCGAATCAGCAGTCAGTGGGTTAAATATGGCTAAAAATTGCTTTTGTCTGCAGCAAGTTCCCTCTCAATTGGCAACTGTTTCTATCATCAAAATGTTTAATTTTTTTATTCTATTGGAAGGAAGAGTGATTGTTTTTTCATACCTTTAATCTTGTTTCTTATCATTAAATATGATCTTTTATTAAGAGTAGAAATACCATTTGTGTATGGCTAGTGTTTCCAAACTAATCTCAATAAATGTGGATAGCCTTGTATTAATCTAACTAAAATATGAAAGTTGTCAACACACTGTTTTTAGTTTTGTAAAATATTCGTCACATTGTGTAGGATTTGAAGAAATCCTGAAAACAAAGTCATTTACTTAACCTATTTATTCTGCTTCTATAATAATGGACTGAAATGTATCTTTACTAGTAGAGGTTAGAGAATTAAAGGCATCTTATTTATACTGGGTACCTGGTGTTAAAATTATATGTAATACAAATAAAGTAACAGTGGTTTATGCTGGTCAGTTGCTTCCCTAACAGATGTTAGTACCTTTCCATGATAGGTTATAAATTTGAGAACAGTTCGTCCCATGGATGCTGAGACAATTTTTAACTCTGTGATGAAGACAAATCATCTTGTAACTGTAGAGGGTGGATGGCCGCAATGTGGTATAGGATCTGAAATATGTGCTCAAGTTATGGAAAGTAAGAATTCAATTTGTATTTCTGTATGAATCAAACCAAACACAGTGTATATACATAGAGAGATTAACATGTGTACCACAGGGTACGGAGAGAGAAAGAAAGTAAATTTAAGGTAATACATTATTTCATTTCTGTACTTCTTTGCTATTGCATAACCTTCTTCATCCATATACCATAGTCTGTACATGAAGCAAAACTCGTTATGAGGAAATATTCTATAAAATAGGATGAAAAAGTGAAGAAGTGGAGTTTAAAAATTGTCTAATTGTTTTTACCTTGATTAATCATACCTCAATGTGTTTGTTTTTGTACTTATCTACATAAAAAGGCAACCTCAAATTAGTCTGTTGTTTTGTAGGCTTAACGCAGAAGATAGTTGTATTTAAAAAAAACAGTTTAGATTAGTTTAGCTTTATGCTTAACAACAATCAAACAATATTTATAGAATGGAAGTTTAATTATATTCTATTTCAGGGAATAATATTAGTTCAGCATACTTTATTTAATATATTCTTTTCTAATAAGCATAAATTTCTGCCAAGTTTTCATTATGTTGCTCCCTACACCAATTAAAATGGTCAGAAAAGCCTATTTTAATCTTGTTTAATTAAAAAACATAACGTATTATATTTGGTGTTATTTGCTTAATATGCCATTTCATGCCAGATCTATATTTTTATTTACAGGTCAAGCATTTGACTACTTGGATGCTCCAGTGGTAAGAGTAACAGGTGTAGATGTCCCTATGCCCTATGCACACACCCTTGAACTACATGCTACTCCAAGAACAGAGGATGTAGTCTTTGCTGTCAAAAAGGTTCTTAATGTCAGTTAAAGGATATTATGCTACATGTTGTTTAATTCAAGAAAGTAGTTCAAAAATAGTAATCAACACAGATACCAAGTTGTAGGACACTTGCAAGTAAAGCTTGGCGGAACTTGTTACATGACTTGAAAAAGACTTGTAACTTGTTAACAAATGTAACATTTGATCCAAGAAATAGAGTGCTTTTAGTCATTATTTGAATCACTAGTTTGGATATTTTATACCAACCTGAATATTCAGTGTTTGTTTAATTACAACAATCATTATTTATCATGAGTTATTTGAATGATAAGAATGAGAAAGATAAAAAATTATATGGTATTAGAAACTCAACAAGTTAAGTAAATTGTAGAAAGGTTTCTATTAAAGCTTAAACAGAAAAAAAAGAGATATAAACTTTGCTAATGCATCCAAATTGTACATATAAATTTAACCTTTCTGAATTCCTCTTAACCCCACTATTTGTTTGGTTGGCCTAATACTTTCTTTAAAAATGACCTGGTTATTTGGCTTGGTATTTGATTTGTAAAATGATATGCTTCTGTTTGTTTGGTCATACCAGTCATTATCTATGAATTATAGGTTAAATAAAAATATCACAATCATATACTTGTGTGGCATTTGACATTACCATGGAACATTTTCTACCACAGTTCTCTGACATATTGTTAACTCCCAGTATGTATTCACACTGAGGTTATATGGAGACAAAAACTGTATATCTTTCTTAATTGTTTTCTCATTATAATTGGTGCTTTTACTGAAGATAACCTCTCTCTCATCACCACC